GAGATGAGACATATAAAGACGTCAAGATCAGTGGATAAACTAGCAAGCAGAAGAAAGACTTATAAAAGCTACTGTGCAAGTATGCAGATGTCTTCACAGATAGACCAGGCAAGACAGACCTTGTGCAACACAAGATTGAGATTATGACCAGGGATCCTGTCAATGTGGAGCCCTACCAGATGCTCAGTGTGATGAGAGACCAACAAGGGAACCGCAAATGTTGGTGCAGACTATATGAGGAGACTTTGTGTGTGAACTTGAAACAGTCTTTGTATATAGTGTAAAAAATATTGTAAATATATTGTTATTTAGTTTGTACAAAGTTCTATGCCTCAGTTGGGAAATATATATATAGGCAACCAAGTTAGTACAAGTAAAAAAGTTAGACTGCATGTGAGTTTAGCGATAGAAAAGAATAATTTGTCTTGTCAAAGAGTATTCTAAAGTAATTGAATCTGCCTGTGTGGACTTGGATGAAAAGGAGACAATTGTGGTAACCAACAGGTGATTTTAAAGTAAATATCACAGCCTTGTATTTTAATAACAGAGCAGAGGAGAATAATTTGTCTTGTCAAAAAATGTTCTAAAGTAATTGAACCCGTGTGTGTGGACTTATTTAAAGCTCTGGATATAACTGTGATTACCGATAGTGTAATGAACTTTTGTACCTACGTTTAACTTGGTTTGAATAAATCGTTTTAATACAAGTGGATTTTGTGCTGTCCATTTCTTGTTGAAATTTATCACTAACAAGTCACAAACACTTGTTGTAAAAATCTGGCCCTATATGAACCTGACAACCAATCTTTGGACATATGTTCATAAACTTTGGAGGGAGGTTTGTTATGTTCTTTAGATGGGTAGGAAACTATCTGTGCATTTGTCCCATGTAAAATTCATTGCATTGTTCATAATTTATTTAATGCATGGAATCAGAGATATCAGAATTTTAGTTGTTTTTTTTTATAGAAGTTGCCCTAGTTTTCTGTCAGGAAGAAACAAATTGTACAGCAAAGTTAATTGGAGATTTTTTACAATTTTTTCCCAAACTTTCAGATTGATATGACACTTTAAGGATAAAAGGAATTGCATAATAAATAGGATATTCATTGTTACTTGTCTTGTGGCGAGATTCTACTTATGATTTCTGTTATATAGTGTAGAAGACTTTATCAACGGATTCCAATGGAAAACCATTTTGGGTTACTAATTGTTTTTTTTAATTTGTCAAGGTCTGATTGAAAATGTTCTTTAGTGGAACAAATGCCTTGATAAAATAATAAAGTTTTTACTATGCCTCATTTTTGAGAAGGGTCATGGCAAAAGTTCCAAGATAAGTATAAACCTGTGTGAGTATCATTATGATAACTGGAAGCTTGGAACTTATTATCCTGTCTTTTAACAAGAACATTCAGGAACGGAAGTGTATGGTTTTCTTCAGCTTCCCTGGTAAGGTTGATGTCAGGATGATGGAACACTGAAGCCTGTAAACATATCAACTATCTTACCCAGAAGTTGGTGAGGAATGGACATAAATATAGCTTGATCTTCAGTTTTTATCATTAATATGTTTGTGAGAACAGGAGCAATGGGATTGCCCATGCTTAATCCTTTGAGCTTATCACAGTTAGATCTTCAAATTGAAATTTGTTGCAGGAAGTGGTAAAATGGAGACATTTTTTCAGAATTTTACAAGAAAGTGTAGATCCAGGAGAATGGTCGTTTATGAAACAATCAAGGATACAGTTCACTGCTTCCGAAACCAGTACTTGTGTGAATAAATTTTTGACATCGAAACTGACAACAACAGTGAGTAGTTCAAAATGTTTCAGCTTTGGGGCAAATTCTTCTGAATGATGGACAAATGAGGAGACAGTTGACATAAGGAGAAAATAGCCAAGCTAAATACTTGCCTAAGTTGAAATTATAAACACTGTGAGCAGAGACAAATAAGTCTTAGCAGAAAACCAGATTTATGAACTTTGGGAAAACCACAAATTTGTAGAGTTCTTTAGTCTTTAATCAGTTGGTTTGAGAAAGTTATACAGTTCATTTGAAAGAAACTCCAGTGTTTTTAGCTGTAATAGAAAAGTACAGTATTCTTAATTTTGTAAGTGTTAAGTTTGTGTTAAATAAGGTAAAATTAATCTTGACTTGGATTATTTATTTCATTTTTGTGACATAATCAGAATAATTTATGATTACAATGGAGTTTCTTCTATGTACTTTTAGAAAAATTATTTTGTCATCCCTTTTTAAGGATTTCAGATCTTTAATTTCACAGGGTTTCAGGTTCAATTTAACTTTGTGAGATTTATTGATTGTGGTTTGAGCACAAGTTGAAAAATCTTTCAACAAATTTGTAATAGGGTTATTTGGAGAAATATGTGGGAAGGAAACTGCAGGATTTTCTAGAATATCAAGTATTTCAATGAAACTAGATGGCGGAGTGGAATTATCAATGCTATTTGACTTGTAAGAGATCTGTGAATAAACCTTGGATTGCAATTTTTCAGTGAGATCTTCTATACCAGTTTTTAGCTCTAAAGAGGAAACTGTTTTGGAGCAACAGCAAAATTAAACCATTTTTCTGACATCTCAGATTCATCCCTGGAAAGTTGATGTTTAGTAACATTAAAGACAACTTTTTTTTTTACCAGAGATCTGATGATGTTATGTAATTGACAAAGTCATGAACTTGCATGCTATTCAGTGTAGAAATATTTTAGAAAAATCTTTTGAAAAAAGGTTGATGAGATCCAGACACCATTAGTAATTCTAAGATTAATACTTACTAATAGTGGTTTGAGCAGTAGCAGTTGACTTTTCATGTAATATTTTATGTATAGCTATCAGAGATATGTTCTTCATATTTATGGAAGACAAATTTTCAACCGTTTTTGTGCTGCTTATTTCTAAGTAATTTTTTTTTTATAGATAAATTGATATGTATTATATGGCATATTAAAATTATTTTAATTCTGATCTGTATAGTTGGCTTACTTTTAATCACTACCAGTTATTAATAAATATTGACCAGAACCAAATTTATTTGAAATAAAGTACATTTATATAGGTAGTGTTGTAAATCAGTACACCAGATGTCGTATTCTATGTTGTGGAATATTTTTCATGCAGGTAAACCACTCTCACATAGTGGGAGGTTTTAGGATTTGGTGTATTTTATACTATTTGAGAATGGAGAAGAGACAGGAAACTTGGATGAATACAAGTACAAAAGCTTTATTTAACTATTTACAAGCTTCAAATTTGAAAAGAGTTAACTGTAACTGATATAGTCAAACTAAACAGGACAATTAAAATGCATGAATCAGACATTTGGTTCAGTGTAATAGGTAATCAACTGTGGGTAAAGAAGAAACAAAGATACTGTATGGAGTCACTCTTCATTGTGTCTCCTTTCAAAGTCTACCAGCAGTGCATTTGAATGTGTACTTAATCCAACATGCAGTATTGCCTTCAGTAGGTTATTCAATTTCAACTAAATGTCTTGGATACAAGTTTCTTTCCCATCACTTGTGGCAATCATACAGGTAGCATCAACTGGCAGGAGCAAAACATCAACATGCAAATGAACCATATTATAGTAGAGTTAGTGAACAGTTATTTATTGGTTATGAGGGAAACAAATCATCTGTTGCACCCAAATTATCAGTCAATAATTGTTTTATACTACCTCCACCATCTTCTGTTTTCAGCTTTAGTAAAATCTGATGAGCTTGCACTGTCACATAGTATATTTAGTCTACATTCCCAGCACATCTTCTGTTTTTAGCTTTAGTAAAATCTGATGAGCTTGCACTGTCACATAGTATATTTAGTCTACATTCCCAGGCTTCAAATTAAATCGTAAAGTTTAAAATTTCATTGAATATTTTGAGCTTATTTTAAGAATCAGTAATAAATCAAAAGATTTGATATTGTTAAATATTCAAATTATAACAGCCCTTCATCATATGATCATACCATTAAACAATAAAGTATTTTCCTGTCCAAAACTTCAGCATAACTAGTGATATATTCAAGATTGTTTGTAAATCAGGCCTAAATGAATCAGCATGTTTTCTCTGTGCTGTAAAGTTCTGCTACCTAAATGACTTTACTCCTCTTTATCTGTGCCTAATTGAAATCTTATGTCACAAAATATGTCCACATCATTTTATGGATTTGAGTGAATTGTTTATAATTAGGCTTAAATGAATCAGTATGTTTTTCTCTGTGCTGCAAAAAGTTGTCATCTGCAAAGTTCTGCTGCAATGTCACACATGCATGGTAATGGCTTTGATGATGAGGCAGCATTGATGCAATTTGTTGCCTAATTTTCAAGACAGCATTGAAAATGTTTCATATCACATAATAACCTCTTGGCCAATCATGGCAAAGAATTCATGCTAGGCATAAAATAATCTAAATTGATGTCCACAATAGAGGCTGTACACCTAAGGTTATGCTCTGCATGTGATCATTAATAAATTTCCCAGTTTTAAACTTGAACTTAGAAAAATAAAAAAAAATTTGTATATGCACTTGAAATAATAATATTCATAAAAAGTCATAGTTTGCAATATCACATACTACTCAGTTCACAAAATCATATGATTAGATTTCATAAACTCGTCAGATGGGAAGACTGCTCAGAAGAATTAGCATACTACAGAATACAATGATGAACAGTATGATTTTTTTATGGACAATTTCACTGTATTTTGTTTTAGTAGCATATTTAAAAATACTTTTTTTTTCTACATTATAGCTATATCAACCTTAAGTCATTTTGTATATGGCAGTTATAACAATTTACAAAATGGAATTTTAGTTATCTGCTTATCTAGTTGTTTAAGGTTTTGTATTAAGATGTAAATCATGAAAATGAGTTAGATGACATGAAGATTTTATTTGATATTTAGTGTGTAAGGTATTTGAAAGCAAATCTTCATACAAATAGCTTGTTTCTTCACATGTTTGATTTTTACTTATAGATTTCAAACAGGTTTAAAATATGAAGATTAAACGACAAAAGCGTCTTCATCGCAATAAAAATTTCTACAAAAACAGCTTTGGATTTAGAGAACCTTACCAAGTACTTCTTGATGCAACTTTTTGTCAGTCTGCACTAAAGTACAAGGTGAATATAAAAGAGCAACTTCCAAATTATTTAGAGGGAGAGGTTAAACTCATGACAACAAGTTGTGTAGTGACAGAAACAGAAAAACTGGGTAAGTTTTTAAAATCTTTTGTAGAGTCAGAATATTTATATATGTAAAACTCAAAAGAGAAAAAATGAAAAGAATGTTTTGTGGGATAAAAAGTATTTTATGGTGTATAAGATGCACTTTTTTACCCCAAAATTTGATGTCAAAATCTGCTTGCATCCTGTACACTGAAGGTATGAATAATATATATGTATATATATACGATATACACAAGCCATGTGTAAATATATTTAAATAGGCATGCATAGTTTAGTTCAATTGAATGTGTTATTTATAACAATAGTAGTTTTTTTTCTTTTAAAAACATAACTATTTATAATGCTTCCTAAATAATAAACAAATAAATTACAGTGAAAGCAATGAAGATTTTGTAGGTTTTGAACCAAACTAAATAACAGTAAACCTTTTTTTGATTTACGGTATTTGTTTATTTTGATGTTTTGAGCTCTTTTGTATTTAGAACAGTATGTACTAATTTTTAAAGTATCAAATTGAATTTTTGTTCAATAAAAATCTTTCAAATGCGACCGTACTTTTTTTCCACAAAACTTTGTTTTCAAAATAAGGGTGCGTCTTATATTCCGAAAAATACGGTAACTTATTTTATTAATAGTAGCGCGAAAGATATAAGCATTATACCAAATCATCTAAAGAAATATCATAATACGTTCGAATCAGCATCAAGGTATTTTCCAAAGATAAAGGTAATAATTTTTATAGCTTACTTAGATGCTAGTTGTTGAAAAACAAATCACCACGATTATCTTAAATGGTTTGTAGCTCAAACTGCAGAAGCATTATAAATAAATGTTTAACCGAGAAACACTTTCAGCATTATAAAGAACCAAAATAACAGATGTTGCTTGATGCTTAGTTGTAAGTGGACAAAATTTAAACCTTGGCTTTGAATATAGTTTTTACTTGAATTCACAACAGTCGTCTTAACATAATAGTAGAAGTACTGTTATCCAAATTTAAAGGCTATTTCTAATAGAGTACTGAATGTCTAAATGACTTCACAGGCAAGACTTCTGTTATAGCGACTAAAATGTCTTGTTTTATCTAAATACCTGGATAGTCTTCTTGAAATTACTGAATTAGATGTACAGAATATAAAAATGAATTCCTGAAAGGATAAGCAAGCCTTAGTAATGAATTTTTGTATATTCCCTCACTTATATTTGCCCTCTCTTGATCTTTGTTTCATTCTCTTCTCAGTCTACTTCCACAGGTTTATCTGTTTTTAATATTAATTTTTGTGTTTCTTCCACATCCACACATTAGATTAGTTATTCCATCTTATTTACTTGTTTTCCCTCTCTGAATCTTTCTTGCAATAGCTTCTACTTAATTTAATGTAGGGCAACGTCCAAACTCATCCTCACCGTATAAAATATAGATAAGAATTGCCATGACAGAATAACAGTGAACATTTGAATATATATATATATATATACATATTATCTGTAACTCTCAGAAAGCTATCCATCTTGCCTTCTCAATCATGTTCGAGTCAATACCTCTCTACTCGTGTTGTATCCACGTATGTTTAACTCCAAAATAGCAAAGTCAGCCACTGATGAGTTGCAGCCACGCTAACTTATAATAAAAGGGGTTGATTTGTATGTGTAAAGGGCTATTTTATTTTAACCTTCTTTTCATACCTTTTATTTGTATATGAAGAATGTTTAAATTTTTTGTTTTAAAACAAAATATTTATTCCCACTCAAAAATGGAGGTTCAGTTATATCTGTAACGAATTTATTATTATATATTTATTTTAATATGAACGTTTGTTTAGATTAAGTTTATATTTAAAAACATGCATAGCTTATAGTGTTCGATATGTATTGCGAAACTGCCGCCTGTTCTCCAAAATTGTAGAAGACTCTCGAGAGTAGAATCAACAATATATGTATGTACATAAACGCTTAAATATAGCTCAGTATTGTTACTTAAAACTAAATTTTCTAGAAAGCCTCCACACGCCTATAAGTATAACCAGCACGACGCGCCCAAAGAGAGAGTATCTATTATTACTTTGCTATAGTCAATGTGCTATAAGCATCGGGAGCTATAACTGTGATTGTCATAACGCTTATCAATCAGAAAATTTCAGATATTTGACCAGGAGCATTTACAAAGTTCGAACATTACAACTCGTTTAACTTCAGTGGATTCTCATCCGACATTAGTATTTTTACGAAAACATTATAAAACATCACGGTAGAAAACCCGGTGTCTGTGGCTGATAAATAACAAAGGATAAAGCTAGCTAGCTTCCCGTAAAGTGAATTATACCTACGTCAACTCGTCATCAACTTACTCATCATGAGCCCTCTATAAGATATCAAATAGATATGAAGATCAGACTAGAAAGAATACTTTATATTGCGTGTAAGTTTGTTAAATTTTTGTTTATAAATTATTGTTTGTAAAACTGTTATTATAAAATGTATTGTTGTGTCTATATTAAATGGATATTTGTGTTAAAAAAGAAAACTATGTATCAATCTTGTTGACAAATATCATAAACTGACTATATATCGGCTTTTACTTAACTTCTAAATCCAAAGTATAATTTAACTACTATATTTAAATTTATCAGTTAACTAAATTTCAAGCTATTTGAAATTCTAATACGCAACATATCTTATCATCATTCTTTGTTATAGAATGTCAATAATGTTTTGTATCGTTCTACTTTTAATTGTAATATTTCGTTCCTCATATTACTGCTAAAATTTTAAAACAAAATGTGAAATTTCACTTCGATTTATTTGCGATCTAAGGCCTTGAGAAGATGTTGGTTTAATTTCATTTGATTTGTGGCCTTTAGAAAATATTGACTTAATCTGATCTGATCTGTGCACATTACAGTAAGTACATACTTTTTTCACTGTATTACAGCAAGCAGTAGCGTATTGCCTCAAATAACCTTGCGAGTGATATGTTTAGTGATATCTTTTTGGTTCAGGGCGAATTTGTGACCATTCGACAATGCAGTGCCGAAGGGCATCTTTACAGCTGAAGGACTATCACATTTATTTTTAATAAAGTTAAAGGACATAACATGTAAAAGAAGGGAGCTTAATGTGTTCTCCAGAGAAACAGAAACATCAAAATTAGCAACAACAGCAACGGGTCCTAAAACAACTTCTGAAGCTAATCCGGCGCAACGCCTCAACTACAGAGTAAAGGCTACGGCTACGAAAGAGAACCACTAACCGAAAAAGTGATTGCGATGAAGCTGAGTATATCTTCTGGTACCGTTAACAAGGTAATATATAAGAATCTGAAAACGACGAATACTCACAAGCCAGAAGTTTCACAAGCTTTCATTCACATCTCAAAATCAGCCACTGTTTTCGCAAGAAATATAGCCGAGTCACAGCGATCACATTCGACCATATTTAATCACAGCAATCTACAATGAACTTCATGTGCCTTAGGTCTGCATAAACGTGATTTTGGAAGCAAAGGTGCACGTTTAGTTGAGGGTTTGTGGAAAGGATTACAAGATGTGTGGTCTAAAAGTAAACTCACTGGTCTTCACAGAACAATGTTACAATGGAAACCGCCGTCAGACTGGACACGATCCAAGATGTACGAAGGTTCTGGAACGTAATTCGCATAAAGCGCCATTTAACTTAATATATGCAACATAAATGTACAAGAAAAAAAGCTGAATATACATGTAAGTTATCCATTTTTAATGGTTTTTGGTGATATTTAGGTTTGCCAAGGAATATTATTCAAACGTATTCGTTTAGAACTTCTAGTATAAGAGGGGGAATATTTACATTAACAAACAGACATATATATATAAGCATGATAGCTTTTTGACTCAATGTTTGAGTTTATAATTTTGTTATCTACCTGCCTAAAACCTCAAGCAATAAACGTACCTTCTGCATTACTTGAGACAGTTAATTGATTTCCTAATTTTATTGCTATAATTGAATTTCGCTAGAACACTATCAAACTTTAAGGTAGTTAGGCTAAATTCAACTTCAGATAATATCTTAGACGGTCATGAAAGAAAAAGATTGTTCAAGCTTACGTCAGGTTAGATAATATTTGAAGACGATATAGATTATTACGTACAATATTAAACCAAACATTTTATGTGTTTGCTTTCATTAAAATCTTGACTCTATTCATATTGACAGCTTCTTTGATCACAAGAAGTTCTTATGAAATACATGTATAGTACAATTTTTTCATGGGAAACTTTTACCTTACTTATAGTTTAATGTTTAATCAAAACAAAGAGAAAACATAATGACTGTTCTTTCTTGATCTGTTCTGTTGATAACAAAAAACACATTTTAGGCTAGGAATAATAACGAAACATTAAATAAGTCGAATAATGCTTTATAACATTTGTTTATCAACTAAACCAAGCTAGTTTCCGAACAAGAATAGTAAATAAATTTTGGCATTTCCATATAAGCCACTGTGACGAGGTTTGTTTTTAATTACCCCAACAAATCAAACCATTTCTTTGAAGCAGTCATATAAGAAGTATACTACGATATGTGAAGCCAAATCCTGTGAAACACGAACCCTATAAATATATGTACTTTTATAATCTATAATGTTGACTTGTTAATTATTGTGAACATTTATTCATTAGTCTGACATAGCTTGGTGGTTAGGGCACTCTACTTACAGCCTGATGGTCTCGGAATCGAAGCGTGTCACCGTACATGCTCGCCCTTTCAGCCATGGGAGAGTTATAAGGTGAGAGTTAATCCCACTATTCGTTCGTAAAAGAGTAGTTCAAGAGTTGACGGTGGGTAGTGTTGATTAGCTGTCTTTTCTCTAATATATCACTCCAAAATTAGGGACGGCTATCGCATATATCCCTGAAGTAGTTTTACGTGAAATTTGACAGACAAAGTGACCTATTATACATGCTATATGAAATGATAGCATAAGAATTCTCACAGTGTTCTATTACGTTTTCTAGCCTGAAACATTTCGTTATTGTTTATTTT